GATGAGACTGAGCAGAGGAACAAAACAAGGAGGGAGTCCTGTGGTTCTTTTGGGCAAAGGAGTTAGGCAGCAGGAAGAGCTAAGGCAGGGATGGTAAATTAGGACCTTACTTAAAATAATCAAGGAAGAGCAAGAAGATAATTTTGTCAGCTATAAATTGGAGACAGAAATAGAGTACTGAGACATGGCATTGTTGTGAAATATATGTAAAACCCTTAGACCAGTACCTTGTAATAGGTCATGCATAATTGATGTTAGACTATACTTATTATTGTTAACATTATTACCCCGCCACTTGCATTAAAGGGGATTCTCTGAAGGTTTAGGAATAATTTATTCCCTTTAAAAAGCACTTGCTTAAGAAAGTGTGATACTTTACTATCAGATGGAGGCAGAGCTCTGGCACTTGCCTAATTAAGCATTCAAAACACCTGCATAATTATTTTATTCAGGTTCAAATGAACTTGAAAAATGTTTCCTTGGCCAAGAAATTTTACTCTCAAACAATTGTTTTTTTTTCTTTAAAATGCAAGCTGTTCAAGGTATATAATCAGAAGTCAAATATTTCTCAAAGTAGAGCAGACCATAATTTTGGACAAAATTGAAAAAAATGTTACCATAAAGAGAATTACTCCAATTTTATTGAAAAAATCTTTTCATTAGCCCCATTTAATTGTGTTCTTTGAAATTCTTTCAACACATAAAACTACTACAATAAAATGAAAACATTTTGAGGAAAGGACATTACTTTTTTAATCTTAGTGCACAAGTTTTATTTAGGTGTTCCTATATAATAGGTGCTCAGTAAATCTGGGTAATGGATGATTGTGAAGACCATGTCACTTACATCTCTTTTAATTGAAAGAACTTGCAATAACAAGATGTTTTAATTCAACAGACTTGAAATAATTTTAAAAGACAAAATGTTAATGTTATATTCAAGTATTAAAAAAAAGAATCAAAGTTTTATATAAAACTACTTGTTTAAAACAGTTTCTGACATGGTTGACATAATCTCCAAATACAGTGTCTGTGGGCTTCAGATGAATTTTTGCCCCAGGAAACTGTGATATTTCAATGGAATGATTTTCTATTGTTGAATGGGAAATAGGAAGGAGATAGGAGTTAGCAGTTTAAGTCCAAGTACAAGATCTGAACATGACTAGGACAAACAAGGGAAAATTATTTGCCTACAAAATAATATTTTTATAGGCATTAAGACACCTCCCAGGCTAAAGTTATTGTGTTGGAAATATCATAGCATAAAAATCACATGAGAGAAGTCTGAAAATCATGTCCAAGGACAAGCAATAAAAAGAAATCCTTCTTCCTCCACTTCATAAGTTGTTTCCTGTTTGTTTGTTTGTTTTTTGTTTTGTTGTTGTTGTTTCCAATTTGAAGATTGGAAAAATCTTGAAGTGTTTGTTGTTTATGTGCAAGAGCACGGGCAAACATAGGTGGGAGTACATGGGTGTAATATGTATGTATTTTGCCTCTGAGTATATCTGTGAAATTAATTGAAAACAAAGATCAAGTTTTGAAAATTTCCTAGGATATAATGAAATTCACAAACAGGATAAATAAGGGATCAGAAACACAATATTAGAAAATGTTTAATCCCATAAAGTCTATATCAAACAAGTTTCAAGGAAGAAAGCTTTTCCCTACACTAGAAGGTGTTTTAATTTTTTAATATGAGTTTTATGTTAGAATAAGGAACATCTAGTAATAAATATTCAGAATTCAACCTTCAGCTTGATATACAAACACAAAGAAAAAAAGTAAATCTAATTGAAGGAAATAAAAAGAAAGGGGAAGATACAGCAAAATCCTCTTTGAAAAATTTAATTTGAAGACTGAGGAGATGAAAATCTAAGAAAAACTGGTTGAGGTTGACTAAACAAATTATATACATATATACAGATATACATATGTATATATATAATAGTGTATCTAAAAGGACAAAAACCCACCAAATTAGGATATAAGAAACTTACCAATGTTCAAGGTCAATACCAATAAAAGAGAAAGATCAAAGAACAATTACAACATGCTGAAAATATCAAGAGGTTTAATTTGTAATCATCCTAGGGTTATTAGACATAGTTTGTTGAGGCCATGTCAAATGTTTTGCAATCTCATGAAAAAAAATTAAAAATTAATGGGAAAGAAAGTTGTGAAAAGAAAATTTTGAACTCTACCAAAAATGCTTTTAAGCAAGACTTAAAACTTTAAAATAGATGATCACTTTGCCATTTTTCAAAATTAGACATTCTTCATCAAGATTAATACTTGTCTATGTTGTATTGAACTGCATCTAGGTAGGAAGATTCCCTAAGCACTTAAACACAATCATCTTAAGCCTAAAAAGATTAGAAAAAATCTCTAAATTTTATTTATTTTTCATCCTTGAGTATATTTTAGAATTTTATAAAATTGATTTTTTTTCTTTGAAATAGATTAGTTCTACATTATTCAAGCTATAATAGCCTACAATTATTATTTCTTTGGTCTGAATAAAGATACAAGTTGTCAGTGAATATGTATTTTCAAGAAATATCTTCTGTGGGCTCAAATGGTGCTATAAATTGTCAATGAATGTAACATAAAAGTGATATCAGTTTTTTTCTATACATTACAATGAAAATAAGTTATTTATATTACAAATGAAAAATCAGATTATTTTTAATTAAAAATATATTACTTAGAAGCAAATACCTGATTATGTTATCTTATTCAAGAGACTAAAAGTGGATTTTTCAAAGAAAGAAGATAGTCTTCATGTCATTATTTTTATACGTATGTTTATCAGTCATGATTTAGCAGAGAGAGGAAGAAACATAAATAATTCCACAACCTTACACCTTTAATAGGGAAGGAAGTTGTCAATAATTTACTAGAACTCAGGTTTCCCAAATTTGTATTAGGTTCTGGCCATATCTTCATTTAGTTTTCCTTTTATTTGATAAATGTTAACTGGGTTAATTCAGAAAAATCTAGGTAGTACAAGGTGGCTAAGAGTATGTCCAGACAAAAATTCCAGTTCATTACCTTAAGTGAAACTGGGAAAGTCCTCAAAGAACCATATCATTGACGTTTGGAATAAGTGTAAGTATATAATACAAGAATAAAATAAGTTTTCCATGAAAAGTAACTACAATAGCACAGACATGTCTATCATACCACAACTTCTCCTTAAAATCCAAAAATGTACATTCAATACAACACAGTAATTTTTTAAAAGTTTCTTTGTTATTGAGGATCAAACCCAGAGCCTCATTCATGCTAGGGAAATACTCTGTCACTGAGCTGTATTCCCAGCACTTTTTATTTTTATTTTGAGATGATCCAGCCAAGTTGCCCAGATTGAACTTCAGCTTGTGATCCTCTTGCCTTAGTCTCCTATGCATCTAAGATTAAGTACTGGAAATTTCATGCAAAAAAAAATTCTATGTAAAACAAGTGCATTTGATTTATTTGATTATGTTTTTGTTTTTGTTTTGGTGAAACTTGTTATCTTTTCAAAAAAATAGTTTAAAAAAAAACAAAAATGGGTAACTTTGCTTATTTTCCAGAAATAAAGGACACTAGTTAGGAATTCTCCTCAGGTATCTTCAGAGGGAGGATAAGAGGGACAAAAGAGAGCCCAGGGTTGGGCTTGGCTGGGCTTATCTGTTCTTACCAGAACACAAGTTGACTCTCTCTTAGAAGTTCTGAAAATGCATAAATTACTTTTCTAACATTAAAAGTAAGCAATGGATTACAACATATAGTCTTTAGAAAACTTTGAACACTTAAATGAACAAGAACTAGGAAAAAAAATAGAATTTTCAGATACAAAGAAAAAGCAAGTTCAAGGGGACTAGCAATATTATGAAGACAAAGTGTTTTCCCTGGTTTTAAGAATACAGTCATAAATCTTTTCAGGACACAGGTTACAGTATATTGAAAAATGCTTAATTCTGTATTTTTGTGAGTTGAACAGCTTATAGAGAATAAACGGTATATGAGTAGAACAGTAACAAAGTCAATATGAAAAGTTGATTTTCTGACTTTTTTTGTTGACCTTCTAGTATCACTAGGTTTGCACATTTTTGTAAGGTTTAAATATTTCCATAAAGACTTTCAACAACTTTTCTAAAATGATCAAACATAATACCAAAATAAATTTTCAAATGGACAGCTCTCACTACTGAATATCTTTTCCTAAAAAATAGCCTGCATGAAAAAGATGGAAATATAAAAATGTTTATTATAGGAATAGAGCCTACTTATTATTTATTTACTTATTTATATTTTATTTTTAAGGAAGGTTGATTATACTTAGTCCAAAATCAGGAAGCACCTCTAGAAAACTTCCTGTTGGGATCTACCTCTTTTATTTCAAAATGAAAAATGTAGACATGAAATACATTTATTCATGTATTTCATGTATCTCTTAATACAACACTCAATGCAATTCACTCCAAGTCAGTATATAACACGATTGATGTACACAAGTTGAAATCCTGCAGAAGCTGAAAAGAAAAGTAGTCGCTGAAAATGTTCAGAAATTTTGCCAAATGCTTATTTGCCAGAATATCTGCTTTATAGAATTAGTAACCCTATTCCTCAAAAATCTCTGAGGAACAGTCATAGATCTTCCGAAACCCTAATTGAAACAGGCAAAGACATATATGTTTGAAAGGAAAAAAAAAATTCAGAATTAAAAAAAAATCTATATTTGAAGAACAGATAGAGTTTTATTAATACTAGAAGAAACAATAACAAGATAATACTACTCCTACGAAGACAACACACCTAAAAAAGAGAAATCTTGTGCTTAAAAATTAGCACTAATATGGACAAGACAAGGCCTAAGAAATACATCATACATTGAAGTTATTTACCTATGTACTGCTGCCTGATTTGTGTTGGGATGTGCCTAACAGCCAAATGGTCAGATCAAGGTAAGGAAGAGATCAGCTGCAAAAGTTCAGAATCACAGCTTCCTATCTTACCTTCCACTGAGAAGGAAGCCAATGACCACTGCCAACAAAATGACTCCCACTGTCACAGACACAGCAATTATAGGAATCTGGCTTTGATCACTGGAGGCTGCAACTGCTGATAGGAGACACAGAAAAGGAAGCTTGTGGTTAAAGTGATCATATGTATTCAAAGTAAGACCTACTTAATAGTCAGTGATCAATTCATGGCTTAAGCAATTCACACACCCTTGGCCAAGATTTCCCCATAATGTCTCTTCTCAAAAATCTGTAATTGAAAAGGCATCTTCAGGAGAAAATATTTACTCTCCAAATAGAAATTCAAAAGCATTACTAAGTCACTGACTATTTCCTTGTCATCATAAAAAATGAATGTATATTGTTTGCATAGTATTCATTGAGGGACCTAAGATTTACAAGATAAAATGGAACATCTTCAATAACTTTTAACATCTTAATCTAAATAGGACGGTATTAAGTATATGTAATTTGACATTTCTAGAGTTTGATGCCACTGTTCTCTAGAAAAAAATTCTGATTAGATTATTCTTTTTTCTCTGAAAATCCAAAGTAATGTGACTATAACCTCATCAAAGTTAAATAAAATAGCAATATTAAAAATATAATATTAACAACATTATGTCAAGCAGAATATAATCATGAAGTATATATTATGAATAGGGTTACTTTTTGAAAATTATGAAGGCAGAAATTTTAAACTTTAGGAAGCCTATACTATTCATTATATTCATTTACATCACTTTTTGAAAAAGAATGGATATAGAAAAAATAATTTTCATTTGGCATTCACATTCTTATCCCTTTTTTTTTGGCCTGATCTATACAGACACCATTTTGGACCAATCTTCAGAGCCAAATGTTATCAACTGCTAATTAGTATAACTGCTATTTAGAAAATAAGTCTATGTTTTTACTTTGTCTTTTCTTCTGGTGATAATAGTTTCAATTCTATATCTCTTTACCTGGATTTCTCCTGTTCTCTAATGCTGAGATCACTAATAAATAATTTGGTTATTGTGGTGTAGTATAAACAGGGTAGGGAAAAATTATATCATCACCCAGGATTTCTAACATTGGATTATTTGTACAATTGCTATTCTCAGTTACCTATCTCTTCACTCACCACCTTCTCCCTCCACCCCCATAGAGGACACCAATCTAAAGAAAACCATGCAGACTTGGTTCAATGTTATATAAGTTCAATATTAATTTGAATGGGTTGAAACTGCTACTTGAATGCCCTTTATTCACTCTTTAATTTCCAAATAAAATCACCTCCACAAAGATAGTATTTCTTATTTTCTCAGTGTGTTAATCTATTCCCACTTTGTGCATTTTTAAAGGCCACACTTTATATAATAGAGTGTTCCGGTCATCTAGCATTAACTATAGCTGTGTCTGTCATTTTGTTTTGCTTTACCTAACTACTTCTTTCTCTCCAAAGATCTTGGTTCTTTAAAGACTTTCCTTCAAGTGAGGCTATTTTTTCCATTATAGACTATTTCTTTGCAACTTACTAGCCTGAGAATTATCTCCTTTTAAAAGGAAAAAGTAAATTATTTTATTTAAATATTTTGGTGCTCAACCTGAATTTGAAAAAAAAATGTCCAACATTTAATGGACATATAGGCCAAGGAAGTTATTTTATCTTTTAAAGCCTCATTCCTTAATCTTCAAATAAAAATATTTTTTCTGGATCATTATCTTTCCGATAAGATTAGAAATAATAATAGAAAACACTTAGCATAATGCTTTACTGACAGCCTTAAATACACAGTGAATGTGATTTCCATTTATTATCTCCTGCTTTATTTACCATTCTTATTATTTCCTATTTGTCAGCATCTTAACTGGGTTATATGGAATAAGCCTGATCTTGTGAAAAGTCAAGTTATTAAATTCTCTGTGCAACTGTTCTTCTGCCTTTGAGGTTCATTTATTGTTTTTTACATGATATTTGCTAAACTCAATTAGTGCTCATTTTACCTTACACAGTATTGTAATAAGAAATTTTACTCTATATAAAATATATATTTCATTGTGGAATCAGTATTCTTCTTGCTGCCTATGGCATTTGACAAGATGGTTTGGTTTTGCCCCTTTGAAGCACTGCTTTGTAATTTCTGTTGATTCTACATTCTCACTTCCATCTTCCAAGTGAGTGAACTTGCTGAAGACTCATTCCTGATCCTTCTCACCTCTATCTTTTTCTCTCCCTGCTTCTCTTTCTCACTCCCTTTCATAGATACTTCTTTGCTCAAGGCATCAGGTGACATGAAAAATTTGTAACTCCAATGCTTATTTCTCTCTAAAACATTGCTCTACTTTTCACCTTCCCCCCTCATTTGTATTTATTGCCACATAAGAATAATGTTTAATATTAAGGCCTATACTAAGTCCAGCCCCATGGGCATTAACAAAAACACATCAAAAAATAAGACATGAATCAAACCAATAAACCAACTGATTTGATCTCTTTCTAGTTTAACTATATTACTTCTTTCTTAACCTGTACTTGTCCATTGATAACCAAACTTTTTTACATTCCTTTTGATGTACCTCATGTATCACTTTATTTTATCTAATTATTAATTTCTTTGATTCAAATCTATATGTTTAAAAACTTGTAAGAGTGTTTGTAGTATTTTTTTCTCTCCTCTGTATGTATATTAAATATCAAAACTTCGATTATGTTTCCCTGACCAAGATCTTATACGATTCCTAGTACCTATGGAAGCACATTCCAAAATTTCCAGTCTAGCATTCGAAAGCCCTTCTAACCTGATGACAAGAAATATTTCTGGCCTCAATGTGACAATTTGGTAACCCTCACAGATATGGTTCTAAAAGAAGAAGGCATGATTAATCAGAAGTAGAGATAAAAATGGGAAACCTGAAACTAAGAAAAGTATTAAATTTGCAAACAAGGTTCCTGGTAGTGTCAAATGATTTATTTTTAATAATTGCCATTATTCAAGAGCTAATTATTAAATAAGAGCTAATTTAACAATGGGTTAAAATACACTTATGTATGTGAAAATGTCTTACATTATAATAACTAACATTATGCCAAAATTTTCAAATGTTTAAATCAATATATTTTGTGAAAGTATTGAGTAATTCTTATTAATGCTTAATTTTATAAGTATTTCTATGTTTTTATCTAATTTACACTGAAATCAGATTTTTTGTATAATATGCAATTAAAAAGATGAATAATTTTTAAAATACATTTTAATTTGTTAACTTTTTAATTAACAATTTTCTGAGTACTTTGGTGATTCTTAATTATTGAAAATTTCACTTGTAATGATTAATTTGTGAGATATTTCTAATAGAAAAAATTCATCAGGATTTTGTTTTCCCTGGGGGCATTAATACTATCATTCTTATTTTAACTAAGATGAAATGATAGAATTTACAGGGCTGTCAATTCCTTTACACTTATTTGGTGGTGGGAAAAAATTAGGTCCTATATGAGCCATGATTTCCATTGTAACATATTGTTAAATTTATATTCTTTAAAAATATGAATACTTAGGCATTCCTGTTTCCCATTTACTTAGGTATATTTGTTAAAAATTAGTCAATTGCTGATGTAATATTGAAAAAAGAGCTGAGGAGTATTTCGAAAACACCGAGAAGCAAAGTTTGAAGTAATGCAACATACTATACCAAAATGTCTATCAGTTATAAAAACTAATATATTTTAGAAATTGTCACTTTTTATTTTTATTTTGTTTTAAAGAGAGAGTATTTTTTTAAAATATTTATTTATTTATTTATTTTTAGTTTTCGGCAGACACAACATCTTTGTTTGTATGTGGTGCTGAGGATCGAACCTGGGCCGCACACATGCCAGGCGAGCGCGCTACTGCTTGAGCCACATCCCCAGCACTAAATGTCACTTTTTAAATCATTATTCACTCTCATTATTCCTGGGAACTTTCAGGTGTTGTATGTTGAGAAATCACATTTTTTACTTTGCATTGCTTCCTAGTTCCTGGTTGTAAACTTTTATAATGCCTAAGTTACATATTGGAACACTTAATCATTAAAATTGAACAAACTTTTGAGAACCAGATTATAAATGCTTTTGAAGACTGAGATGAGAATTTGAGTATTTTTTCTCACAGCATTATTATCTACTCACTTTCTTCATCAGAAAAAAATGAACAAAATTACAATTTTGACAAATAATATGAGTTCTGGAATCAGGGGAAAACTTTAAAACAGTATGACAGGTAAATAAGCACATGAAAAGATGTTGAATAGCATTAGCTATCAGAAAAATTCAAATGAAAATCACAATAAGATACACCATCTACCTATTCAAAATGACTAGCAAAGGAATAAATACATGGGGGCTGGGGCTGGGGCTGGGGCTGGGGCTGGGGCTGGGGCTCCGTGGTAGAGCACTTGCCTACCATGTAAGAGGCCCTGGGTTCAATCCTCAACACCACATAAAAGTAAACAAATAAAATAGAAGTATTTTATCCAACCACAACTAAAAAATAAATATATAAAAAAATGAATACATCAAATGCTGATGAAGATGTGAAGAAACTGAATGACTTCTGTAGCTCATAGGAATACACAATAATACAGCTACTCTGGAAAAGAGTTCAGCAATTTCTTATAAAACTAAACATATAATTATCATAATAGAACCAGTGATTATATTTTTGGGATTTAGCCCAGGAGAATGAAAATTTATTTCTACACCAAAATATGTACACAAATGCTCATAGTTGTTCACAAATGTTGATTGCAAAAGCAAATACAGGAATCAGACAGATGTTCTTCAAGAGATGAATGGTGAAACTAAAATGTGGTGCATATATACCACAGAATATCACTATGCAATCAAAATTAACAAATTGGAAGCATATAACAACATGTATTTATTGCTAGAGAATTTTGCTGAGTGGGGGGAAAAAAGATTCCAAACTAAAAGTCACATTCCATTCATAAAAAGTTTTTAAAATAGCAAAAATGTTAGAAATGGAGGACAGATTAATGGATTCCATGTTTGTTTGTTTGTTTGTTTTAATGGAATAGAGTTGTTCCTGAAAGAAGTAGATATGGTTTTAAAAGGTCAACAAGAAGGATTTCCATCATGTGTGCATTGGTTCGGTATTTTGATAGATACATGAACTCACACAAAGGACCAAATTGTATATAACTGAAAATACACATGTCCACAAACACTTCTATACAAAGAAGTCCAAAATAATGTGATTGAAAAAACAAAACAAAACAAAATAATGTGATTTATATCTGTGGATAGTATCAGTGTGAATCTCTTGGTTTTGATTCTACATTATAGTCTGCAAGAAGTTACCATAAGGAGAAAATAACAATGTGCTTAATAAGTTCTTAGTATGATTGCATGCAATTGAATTTGAATCTACACTTACCTCAAGAAAATTTCAAATAAAATCATAATAGCATTGTATCAGCATTTGGATTAAACAGATTTGAGTTCCATAGATTAAAAAAACAGATAGAAGAAAGTGATACATTAAAACTACAAAACAAACAAAAATGAGATTAGCAAATCTTGGGCAAGTAGAGATTAAGATTCGGTGAGAATTTCAAAGTTTTAAGACAAGTTAAAAGAAACTGAAAAAATGAATTAACTATTTTAGCTGACTGGTATCATTCATGGAAGGTTTATTTTTTGGTGTGTAAGTGGGGATAGGTGTGTATTCTCTTGGTCACTACTGTTAAGCATATGGATAATAACTAAAGTTTGGGAAAGAAAAAAAAATGAGTGGAGATTTCCTATCCCAAATTCTCATATAAAACAATATTTCCAAAATAAATATATTTGCAGTCCTGTTTTTACCACTATTTACACTTGGGTTTAGACCCATATTTTTTACTTATAAGATAAATGGATAAAAGAGACAAGTCTTCATAACAGTTTCACCTCTAGTAAATAAAGAAGTCAGGTTTTGGGGCTGGGGATGTGGCTCAAGTGGTAGCGCGCTCGCCTGGCATGCGTGCTGCCCGGGTTCAATCCTCAGCACCACATACAGACAAAGATGTTGTGTCCGCCAAATACTAAAAAATAAATATTAAAAAATTCTCTCTCTCTCCCTCTTTCTCACTCTCTCTCACTCTTTCTTTAAAAAAAAAAAGAAGTCAAGTTTTATAAAGACCTGTAATAAATTTTTAAATATAACCAAATGAATAACATGTCAGCGTTTTATTATGAATTAGTTAATTAAATATTATTTTTAAAGGTAATTTTGAAATAATATTCTGTCCTTATTTGAAAGATGAAATAGATTTTCTTTACCAATAATAACTCTTTAAAGCCAGTATTCTTAAATTTCAACACCAAATGAAAATCACTGATAAACTTAAGGGGAAAAATACAAGAGCATTTAAGAAACTATAATTCTTGTTTTGGAGATTTGGAGAACTTTTGGGGGAGGGGAAGTAATATGTTAAAATGAAGTTATGATATTAAGTAAATGATGCACAATAAAATAATTATCACAATTTCACAAAAGACTACAATAATTATTGTGAAGTGAAAGGCATATTACACAAATGTTACAGAAATTCTAAATGGAATTATCATGCATTTTCTCTGATTACCAAAAAACTACAAACTGTGAGAAAGAAGGGGCCACTACCATACAAGTATTTGAATCACTCTCAATACTTTGAGCAAAAAGAATTTTGATATATAGGAAGTTGTGAAAATAATTCTTAACCAATAAACAAAATTATTCTAAAATGGGGTTTGAAGCAAATATTTTTTTCTCTTAGACAGACTATATTTTTGTACTTTCAAGGGTAGTTCCTGTGTATTACTCATGTTGATTTCTCCGGAACCCAACAGATCCTATTATGTAATAGACGCTTATACAGTTATGTTGAATTATATAGAAAGAATTCTCATGTAAAGATCACATTTTTACTCCTCACACTTCAGATAGAGCCCTAATATCCAGAGTATACAAAGAACTCCAAAAATTAGACAATAAGAGAACAAACAACCCAATCAACAAATGGGCCAAGGACCTGAACAGACACTTCTCAGAGGAGGACATACAATCAATCAACAAGTACATGAAAAAATGCTCACCATCTCTAGCAGTCAGAGAAATGCAAATCAAAACCACCCTAAGATACCATCTCACTCCAGTAAGATTGGCAGCCGTTATGAAGTCAAACAGCAACAAGTGCTGGCAAGGATGTGGGGAAAAGGGTACACTTGTACATTGCTGGTGGGACTGCAAATTGGTGCAGCCAATTTGGAAAGCAGTATGGAGATTTCTTGGAAAGCTGGGAATGGAACCACCATTTGACCCAGCTATTCCCCTTCTCGGTCTATTCCCTAAAGACCTAAAAAGAGCATGCTACAGGGACACTGCTACATTGATGTTCATAGCAGCTCAATTCACAATAGCAAGACTGTGGAACCAACCTAGATGCCCTTCAATAGACAAATGGATAAAAAAATGTGGCATTTATACACAATGGAGTATTACTCTGCATTAAAAAATGACAAAATCATAGAATTTGCAGGGAAATGCATGGCATTAGAGCAGATTATGCTAAGTGAAGCTAGCCAATCCCTAAAAAACAAATGCCAAATGTCTTCTTTGATATAAGGAGAGTAACTGGGAACAGAGTAGGGACGAAGAGCATGAGAAGATTAACATTAAACAGGGATGAGAGGTGGGAGGGAAAGGGAGAAAGAAGGGAAATTGCATGGAAATGGAAGGAGACCCTCAGGGTTATACAAAATTACATACAAGAGGAAGTGAGGGGAAAGGGAAAAATAATACAAGGGGGAGAAATGAATGACAGTAGAGGGGGTAGAGAGAGAAGAGGGGAGGGGAGGGGAGGGGGGATAGTAGAGGATAGGAAAGGCAGCAGAATACAACAGACACTAGTATGGCAACATGTAAATCAATGGATGTGTAACTGATATGATTCTGCAATCTGTATACGGGGTAAAAATGGGAGTTCATAACCCACTTGAATCAAAGTGTGAAATATGATATATCAAGAACTATGTAATGTTTTGAACAACCAACAATAAAAAATTAAAAAAAAAGATCAAACGAGAATGATATATAATACATACTTTCCACAAAATAGAAATGCCTTCAAATGCTTACATATATGAACACAAACTCAAGTAAAAGTAAGAATTTATACTAATAGCTGTGAGGCCTTCAGCCCTAAAACATTGTCATTATTTATTAACAATAACATTAAATTCTACTTTTGTGGGAAAAATATTTGCATGATATTTCTTTTTCTCTAGAGAGGATTTAGAAAAAATTTGAAAAGCATATGATCTCAGGTGAGACTTTGTAAAAGTATAACTGACCTGAATATATATTAGTTCTCTTAGTGCTCTGATTGATCAATGTTGACATGCCTGGAAATGAGTATTTAATAAAAAAAAGTACAGGGTAGAAAATTGAAAAGTCAGAAGAAAAACTACTTCATGAACATGACAACATCTACAACTGAGTAGAATTTAATATAAAATGAATTTTTCATTTGTATAGTTATCAAAGCATTCAAGCATATTTTGATATTATATATAGTTTTGTACCTAGAATTGGGAGACTACATAAGCAAGTGTGCATTAGTATTGATACCTTAAAAAAATGAAGGCTTATTAGGATGGTCATCTTATATAACATGTCTTTTTTTCATCAAAAATCTATTTTACATTGAAGGTAATATTATTACCAAGTCTATTGAGAAACTTTTCTGGAAGTTAAGCACTGGAGACTCAAATTTCAGTGATGTTAACTAGATATCAGTCATGGAATATTCTTTTGCATAGAAAAAAATAGTTTATCATTTTTATTTTATTTATTTGTTCATTTATTTATTGGAACTGGGGAGTGAACCCAGGGATACTTAACCACTGAGCCATAACCCCAGCTCTTTTATTTACTTCATTTTATTTTGATATGGGGTCTTGCTAAGTCTCTTAGGGCTTTGCTAAGTTGCTGAGGCTGGCTTTGAACTTGCAATCCTCCTGCCTCAGCCTCCCCAGCCACTAGGATTACAGACATGCACCAATATACCTGCCTCGTTGATAATTTTTTCATGACACTATTCTCTTCCATTTACACTATTGAAAAAATTCTTTCTACATAATTTAGTTAAATATATTAATTAGAAATATATCTTGATTTTCTAAATGTTATGAATATTTACTTTAATAATCATTTAATAATTAAAAAAACAAACCAAACTAAATTCTCATTTTTGTCTTCTTCATTTAAAAATCACTAATTTTTACATAATTTGGCTTTAAAAAGTATATATACACACTCTTGACATTTTGCAGCATTCCTGTATGTTATTTTCTTTAAAATGAAATTTTAATAGAATTCGTTCTTTCATCTATAAAAAGGTAAAGTTATTCATTTTTCCAATCTTGCTTTTATCTTTAGGATAAATTAGTAATCTCTATTTTTTGTTGAAGTTAAAAGGAAAAAATATGCAATTTTGTGGGAAAATAAAAGAATACCAAAAGAGAATTTTGGAAACATTTCCAGATTCTCCACTCTAAGATACTGCAAAATATTTAATAAATATATTTTTAAGAAAGCAGATAGGTTACTGAGAACACCATTTTCTTGCCAAATTCAATGTCAAGAAAGCTTTTCCAGGAATTTTCTTTTCTTAAACTAAAGTAGCATAGTTCAACAAAACATGTAAAAAGTAAATGGCAATAATTCAATAAAGTATGGCATCAGTGGAAACAAAGTCTTTAGATGCAAGCTTTAAACATTTCTTAAGGATCTCCTGATATACCATGTCCCAAAGGACTAAATGCAATGAGGAGCGGGACCCCAAGTGTTAACCTGCTGACCTACCATAACAGCATGACAGATGCTTCCTACCTGAAGGGGTCATGCCTGGGAGAGAGGGAAGGAGAGTGAAACTGACAGAGTGCCCAGGGAGGGTATTGATCCACTGACTCTTTTCTGTTAACCATTACAGAGACATGAGTTGACAGTAATTAAAATGACTTACACACTGGGATGGTTTCAAACTCAAATCTTCGACTGAAGACACCATAGCCTGCTGCTGTACGTGCTCGAATTTGGAAGACATACACTGAAGCTGGTTTCAAGCCCTCTGCAGTAATAGTGGTCTCTTTCGATTTGATAATAGTGTAGCTGGTCTCTTGGTCCTTGGATTGCACATGTACATACAATAAAAAATTCAACATATGAATTACTAATGACAAAACTTAGAAATGTATATTAGAAATGAACAAGAAACCAATGAACTTTCTATTAGCTCAAACCTATTTTGGAAAAATCTCATACACCCTCACTGTGTTATATATATAAATATGATCTTACAATGTTGTTGGAACTTGAGGTTTTGAAAGTAACATGCTTTCTACTCATCCATAATACATGCTCATGCCCTTGACAAAAACAAATTTTTAAAAATCTTAAAAGGCAATTTTGCAGGAGATTATTTCCAGACTTTATTTTATTATTATTAATGTATGCTGTTTTTTCTCAAAATGTATTATTGGAATGTATCTAACATGTTGCCTCTTCATAGAGGATAACTGACAGTATTTCGTATATGTTTAGTCTTAAGATTTAAAACTTCAGTGAATTAAATTTTTAATTATATTTAGAGCTTAGGGGAGAAATTAGTACTGTAACGGAGAATTTTTATTTCAATTCACTCTGCCTAAATAATTAGCATTAAGGAGAGCACTCAAATAAAAAAATTACTTTTTATTTTCCTTTTAAAAATTCTTATTGTATGCAAGGGGTATGGAAAATACTGAATGGAGATAGAGTAGGAAAGAAATGACTGGAAAAACAAGTTTGGAAGCTTAAACAAAAGAGAAACTCCCTATTTGGGCTACTCACAGAAGTCTACGCTAACCATCCAAAGCTCTCTGAGTTACTCATTGGCTTTAGAGTAGATGTTGAAATCACTGGCTAAAATACAGCAGGTTAATTTTTACTTTTATCATCAAGTTTATTTATCTGTACAACTTGGGGTAGGAATTGTTGCTTGTGTTTTCTCACATAAATGTTGTAAGAATGAAACACATAATATGTGTGAAAACACATAATAAACTAAAATACATGTTTTAATTTTCATAATTATTGTTTTAAATGTTTTCTCTTTTTTTCATAATTCAGTATGCCAAAGTTAATTTCTAGCCACTTTCTATACCACCACCAATACTACCTAAAGTAAACCACTTATGACCTTTTTTTTTTTAAGCAATTTACTGTTCCTTATTTAATATGTTTAAGCATATTAAATATCTCAGAATTAAGTACACCCAAATTACTCTCTAAATAAGAATGGTCTAATTTCAAATTGAAATAGGTTTTTGAGTTCATACTAGACACATGGCTGATTTTACTTTTTTAATGCGTAGATTAATTTAAGTGCCTAGTCTTTTAAAAGCTTTGGAAATTTTATTTCAATTTTGCAAGGAATTTCAAATAGGTAAGTACTACAGAATCCTGCAAAACTGTACCTCAAAATTTCATTTTTTCATCAACAAACATTTATTGATTTTCTTTCTCCTATCAGCTCTATTGTCCCTTCTACATGCTAGGATGACAGTAGTAAAAAGCAGATGATTTCTTGATGTGTTCCTTTTAAATATTGTAAATAGCTTTTATGACCTATTTTAGTTATTGATTGTTCTGAGAATACTCATATTCTTGACTCACTAAACCTGATAATATTGTGTACTATTTCTCAATATTATTCAGTCTAATATACGTCTCAGCTTGGTTATGATTAAAATAGTAGCTCTCAATAAGAAATGATTAAATATCTGGTTATTGATATCATTTCCAATTGATAAAAGGGAATTTAACTTGGTAAAAAAAAAATCTAGTCAAAAGTAATGTGGGATTATATTTGATATAATTATGGATTTTACACACAATGTTAGCCCATATAATGGGAAGAATTTTTAAAAGTGCAGAAATAACAGTGTTAGAATTTCAGTCATAACAAGTATATTTGCAAATGTGGGTACCAACTCTGGAGCCATTTTTTCTTCTTTACAGTGGTGATGAAACTATTTATCAAGATAACTGGGAGGAGATATGATAGAAATAAAACACATAGCACCAAGTATAATCTCCACAATATCATAGAATTTTTAACTTAATTTGGGTATTCTTAATGCATAAAATGATGGTAAATTCTTCTGCTGCAAAGGAAAAAAATCAAAACAAATTTTAAAAGCTTGCATGGTTGTAAATCCTTACTATTAAAGGTATAGTGAGTACATTTTCTAAAAAATTTTGGAATTATTAGTTTTGGAAAAAGGGAAACAGAATTACAAGAAAACTGAAATGCTACTCTGTGAAATAATGTGAGATGCAATTCAAATTTCACAAAAAGACAACATTCTGGTGTTATTTAATTATTAACATTATATCTCAATTGTTCCTTATCTAGAGTATAATTGTACATTGTCTTGCTGAGTTAACTGAATGCAACTATTAAAGAGAATTGAGCAAAACATATATCTAAGAGATCAAGACCAATGAATACACGTTATTAATGATCTAAATATCTTGAAAATTTCTTTCTGTTTCACTCCTTTAAAATACTCTTATGTTATGCTTTTCTTCATCTCACAAATTCTGTATATACCTCTTCAACACCAACAAGTACCAGGCTTCCAAATCCCTGGTTAGGGCATTGGCTTTTGCTGCCTTCCTGCCCCAGCTGAGCAAATGAGCTACATTCTCCAGCTGCTTAGCAAACACTGTTCGCATGTAGCGAGGGGAGGGACTCAGCACAAGGAGCCAGCTGGCAAACACCCTGCTAAGGGGCAGTTTCCCTTCTCCTCTGCCTTTAATTAAAGGATGGCAATAGGCCCATTACCACACCAGAGCAGAGAAGCCCAGTGACCTCTATTAGAGCAAGGCAATCACAGGCAGAAATGCCAGCTGGCAAATGCATGTGCCCTGGAAAGCTCTGCCACCTGTGTCTGGCCAAAAGCCATTCAATAAAATGGTGGTGTCATTTTGAAGGTTCTAAATGAGCTCTGGAAATCTACCAAGACCCCCACCTCAATACATGTTATAAAAGCTCATTATCCTTGTATTTTTTTCTTCTTTTTCCTAAAAGTGTTTTTTTTTTTTTCATCTTTTTGTGTGTTACATGGGTGTGCTCAGTAATTTGGCTTGATCAAAGAACAAAATCATTTTAAAATAAATATAATACAAAAATAAATTTGATCTCTAAAGACAATCATTCCTCCACATGGATTAAATACACTACAAGAAATATTAATAGAAAAGGAATCCTGCCTATCACTTGTTGATTAACTCTTCATTCTTATAGAAGCAGCAACTTGAAGGAAAAAAAGAGGGCTAAATCCTTGTTCCTTCTGAATATCCAATGGAACATTTTATATATATGGTGGGAATTGGTAACAAAAATAATACAAGTTTACTAATAAGAGGAAAAAGGATGATTTCTTATTTTTGGCATAAAATAAGCCATTCATTAGTCCAGTTGGTTGATTTACTAGAAAAAAAAAATGGAGGCAAACAAAACCTTTGTCTTCCTATTGTTAAATTTTCTTTCATCTAAGACATATGAATATATTCAAACACAGAGTTTTTGCCATTTAATTGTTTTAAATTTTTATGATACATTTCAGCTTTCTTGAAAATTCACTTTAATAATAATTAAAATTTTAACTTTAGAGAACATACAGCTGAATTTAACATGTGTTTACAAATATATGTATATGTGTGTGTGTGTAAAATTATACATACCTTTTCATTCTTATAGAGAAATAAGGCTTACAAAAACTTAACTAGGGAATATAAATGTAACATTAATTTTACAAATTATTTTTTAATAGAGTAGTATTTACATTGTAAGTCTCTGAAAACTGTATGCTGATTTTGAGTACAATCTCAGAGAAAAAGGAATCAGTCAGGAATATTAATGTTACTACATTCTACTACATTAATTCCATTTTTGTCAATAAGAAGCTTTGTAAACCATATCTCAATATAGGTTGCTATATAAGTGTTCTCTTAGAGCACTCTTAGTGAATAATACATCTGGGAAACATATTTTTGTGAAATTTAAGTATCATCATTTATATTCCCCAATGATCTAATGTAGGTAATGCTATTATTAAGTCATTTGTAAAAAGATGATTATTTCAAAAGTAGCAATTGACAATTCATTTATTAACAAAATAAATATATGGGGGCTGAGGATGTAGCTCAGTGGCAAAGCAGTTGCCCAGCATGCGTCAAGCTGGTTTCAATTCCCAGTTGTACAAAAACAAAACAAAACAACTAATGAAATTAATATATGAACATTGCTGAGGCATTCAAATTATAGAAACTACATGTAGATAGCTCTCCTGCTCCCTGCCCCCTACTACTGTTTTATACTTTGTTGTGTCTTTTCCTAGTTAATTGCTGAATTTATGAACAAAGGAAGCAGTTTTTAAAATCTTTATAGTACTCTGAGAAATTAAAATTTGACATATTTACCTGAACCCTTTTTCTATGCATATGCCTAAAATCTTAGACTTTTAAGTTGTTTTCACTAGTGTTCTATATGATGATGAAAAGAACTACTGTCCTCTCCCCACTTTTTTTCCATTATCCTAAGTTGAGCAATTTCCTTGAGTATTGTTGAGTAACTTTTTGTACTATCTCCTATTTTCTTTGTTCTTTCCTAAAAGGTAAGGAGCGATGTCTTTGTGCTTTTGGGGGGAAAATGAGCTTCTATTTGGGGATCTATTTGTTCACACTATGTCTGCGTTATTTTCTACTCGTATTTCAATTGAAACAGCACTCTCTGTTCAAGGTCTCCAGTTCATCTCTTAGAAGCTGGCTTGGGTACATATATCTAGCTCTTTCCCCTTTGTTAAAATTCAGGTTGTTCTAAGGAATATATGTCATTCAGTTCCAGGCTGTGCAAAACTCACACTATAATAAGGTGTGGTGGAAGACTAATGGTGACTACATGTCTTGGTCACATACTCTTGTCCAACTTTAGAAGTTTAAAGTTTATCTTTAGCTCTCATCCATATGATTCCACTATCTATAGCTTACTTGCTTGTGGATTCCAAAAAGAAGAACATGATTACCATCCTTAGATCTCAACAATTAACTATGAAATACAAAACAGTGAACCTAGGAGAGAATTTAGGGAAAGAGAGGAAATCAAGAAAATATAAGGAATGTAAGAAATGCATTTCTAAGAATTTAGTAGCCTCAAATTTTAATGTAAGGTTTACATGACAGTGTTAGATACATGTTAGGAGATTGAAAAAATTCTATGTCACCCATGCCTCACCTACCCAGCCATCCTTAACCATATAGTATTGTGGCAATTTACTGGCTGTCAGTACACACAGTATTTCTCATAGCATGCTGCATTTGCTACTGAAAAGCAATAGCTTAAGAGCATTCAACACTTTCAAAATGTCCTATGATTTCATCTTTCATGGGCTGTGAAACTAGTTAAGCTAATGCTAGACTATATAGGGGTATCCAGGAGCATAAATTACTTGCTGCAGAACATGAATAGAGTGCTCCCTGTACACATCTAGCCTCAATCATCACGACTGCAGAATCAATTGTCATTGATTTACACGTAAAAGTGCAACATACTCTTCTACAAATTGGATAATTATGGTTGCTAAAATGGAAAAACAACGGAAAGGGCATTTTTAATTCTGTTATTCCCACCTTCTCAAAATATTTAATTTCATACTCCAGGATGATTCCATTGGGGCGATCCGGCTCTTGCCAAGACAAAGAAATGCTGTTTTTTGCAATTTTCCCCTTTTTCACATTGGTGACTGGAGAGGGGGCTGCAAAAGAATATAAATAAAGAATATCATGATTAATACAGCCCTGAAATATAACCTCTTCTGTGTATTATATGTATTAGCATTTTAGGATATCATATCATAAAAATCACAAATGATTAATTTTTTCTTTTAATCTGGCAACAATTTGACTTTCTCTATATAAGGTGTTAAAGATTTCCAGGTGTAGTACACACTTGTAATCCCTGAGGTTTGGAAAACTGAGGTAGGAGGATTGCAAGTTCAAAGCCAGCCTTAGCAATTTAGCAAGGCCCTAAGCATCTTATTGATACCCTTCTCAAACTGAAAAATAAAAAGGGTTGGGGATATGACTCAGTAGTTAAGCGCCCCTGAGTTCAATCCCTGGTACCAAAAAACAAAATAAGATTATTAACTGTTTTACAAATATAAACTAGCTAACCACCTTGTGAAGTGTCTCATAATAAAACTGTAGGAACATAGAATTTTAGTTCTTAATTATCTCAATACATTTCAGAAATACGTATAAAATAATTTACCTTTATATACAAAAAAGACCTTATGTATCTTCTGTTTCTAAAATTTATGGACTCTTTTTAATGTATGGACTCTGCATAATACAGATGTATGACTACCTGTATTACCACATTTTCACAACGTTAAAGCTCTTGAACATTTATTATTATAACATTGGGTCCTGTAGTTGTAAATAAATTCATATATTAAATCTAGTCAAAGTTTTCCTTAAAATGTTACTAAATATGCCAAATATCTTGAAATTAATAGCAAAGAGAATAAATGATTTCTTTGATTTCCACTCCCCCCCCAAATTACATTATATCACACTCACTTGCAATGTTAATTATTATCTGCTTAGAGTCTGAGATAACTACTTTTCTAATAAAAATAGAAAATGTGTATGGGATTTCACATACATTTAAGATATGAGAGTTCACAAAACATCTGGATCTATGAGTCAATGTCCATTTTTTCAATCTGCTGAGACTTGTATAGACTTTGGGTTTGATGCAGTAAAGAATTGACTAATATCTTTTCTGATGTAGGTTTACCTTTATTTTTGTAGGGTTTACCTTTCATAAAAGACACAGGAAAAACTATCATAAACTATCAGATGTGTATGTTTATATGAAGTCATCCCTCAGCATGCACAGAAAATTGGTTTCAGGACTGAAATCAACAACATGCACTGATGAGCAAATCCCTTATAAAAATGGCATATAGTATAGTTATTTGTCACACAACAATATTTTGGTCAATGATGATACACATATAAGACTGGTCCCATATGCTTGTGTTGACTAGTGAATCCATAGATATCTTAGTTTATGTTAAATACACTCTTTGATGTTCACATATTACAAAGTCACTAAATGATGAATTTCTCAGTTCTCATTAAGCAGCACAAGACATTTACATATAACATACATATATCCCATATACTTGTCTTATCTATATTTCTTACAACAAGTAATAACATGTAAATACTATATAAATAGTAAAAATTCTATTGAAACATTCTATTGCTTAGGGAATAATGACAAAAATCATCTGTACCTGTTCAATGTAGATGCATTTTTTTTCAAAATATTTTCAAGTCATAAGTTGAAAATGATTGAATCCAAAGAAGAGGAATTTATTGATATGGTGGGTTGACTTTATGTGTTCATGTGTGGATAGAAAGACAGTATTTTTTATAATGTAAAAGATGTCAGCCACAGTGAGTATTATATAATCAGAGGAACAGCCCCATCTAAGTAGTAAGGAACACCTGGTGAGTTTAAATTATGTAAATACACACACACACACAAACACACTTCTAACTATTTTGCTTTTTATTAGCTTTGTCCAGACAAAATAACACACTGTGATTTGTCATATGCAATTTTTTTGGACATTTCCAGAAAACAATCTAGAGGTACCACTCTAGGAGACTAGAGGTACAACTTAGAACAACAGACTGCAAGAATAATGTTTAGAAGTAATGTATGTTAGGCACAAAAAACAACACAGTTAACGTGGGATGGGGAAGAGGCTGATTATTTTAAAGCAAAAGAAAGATCATTTCACCCTCTACTTAAAACCCTCCAGTGATTCTGCACCAACTAAAGAGGAAACCCAGCTGTATAGTGTGTACAAGGATCATGGCTGCCTGGTCCCAGCATCTTCTTGGCTTTGACCTCTTGCTGTTCTTCACCAGCTCTGCTCCATGCTCTGTGACTTGCAGTCCTGCCACACTCCTGCTGAGGGATATGTATACAGGGCTTTCCGGCTTTTAGAAGTGCTCTCCACCAGCTTCTCATGGCTCCATCCTTCACCTCCACTGAGTTTCTGAGAGGTCATTCATGTCCACTCAACTTACTCTAGTAAGTGTCTCTCATCTTCCATCACATCTACATTCCTTTTGCTCCTTTAGTCTTCTTTTTCTCCATAGCTGTTATACATCACCACCTGACATACTATATAACTTAAGTATATTTTTGTTTGTTTCAATCCTTCCAACTATAATATATTTGATAAGGGCAGAAATGTTGATTATTTTGTCCACTCTTGAATCTCTAGCATCTAGAACAATGTCTAGGACAGAGAAGATGCCAAAGAATATGTACAGAATGAATAATTTTTGTCATTTTTGATCAATGACAACAAACTCAAAAATAAATTTTGAGTAAAATATATTTCTTTCAATGAAAATACATATCTATGTATAATATGTAATAGAGCAATATTTAAGTATACTAGTTAATGTTTTATATACCAATTTTTATTCTTTTAATTTCAGAGAATGGTGACATTTTGGTGCAGAGAATGCACATTCTCAGCTTTGTCTTCTTTTCTTAAAATGTCAGTTTCACAAAGTTTTTTTTTAATATTATAGGACACAATGTGTGCATAAAAAAAGCCCAAATAGTCCATATGCAGTATTGAAATGCAGTTTGTTTACTTCCATGGAAACAATAATTGACTGGCAGTTCTCACAGTAACATTCTAGTATAAGTTTGAAGTTCCTATTGATTCCCAGTGAGGATAGTCATGCCCTAGTTAGCATTGAGGATAAAGCATCCAAAAAAAAAATATGGCAAAAGGTTAAGAATAAGCTTTGGACCCCTGGTCCATTGTAGCATTTGTAACAAAACAATAAATTTACCAAAGTAGTAAGAGAGGATTAAGGAGAACAATGGATTTTTTAATGGATTTGTTCAGGAATGAATTATCTTATTTTCCTATTACCACTGTATATTTATTGCATTATATAGTAGTGTAAATACAAAGCAAACCTAAGTCTTCAAAGTTCTTTGCTCACTTTACTAAAATACAAATATCATTTTAGATTAGCACATTTCCTAAAGATAGCAGTTTTCAACTAATGAATTGAAGGTATGGCCTATTTTCTATTCATAAGAAAAACATTAGAAATAGAAAATTATATTTAACATTATGATCCACAAAGGCAGGGGCTTATTTAGTTTAGTTCACTGTTATGTGTCCTGGGGTAGAAAACTGCTTAACATACAGATATTTAATAAATAATAAAGGAATGGATAGATGAATGAATAAATGGCATATATATATATATATATATATATATATATATATATATATATATATACATAGTATTACACAAAACTCAGTTTATTTCATCTATAGATTCACATATTTAAAAAATTGAATCAATGCTTTCATCAAACAATCAACCATTCCAAAATGAAGCTATCAAATAAATATCAACATAGACATCACTAGCCTAAGGTGAAATATTTTGATATTTACTTGCATCCATCAATGTTAAATAAATTATATAGCTTTCAAAAACTGTTTGATTTAACAAATGCCATTGTTTTTCAAATTCAGTTTTCTCAGAGGCTAAAAATGTCCTTTAAAATAATGGTTCAGAATGGGAGAATAACATCACTTCTGAGCTCAGAATAGTTCAGAATAATTTCCTCTGTGACAAGAGCATCTTTGCATTACACGGGTAAAGCTTATGAAAGTGGGGACACTGACAGCCCCTGGGGACATAATGATGATGCACAAATTGTGAGTGGCAGCAATCCTCTACCACTGCAAGGTGTTTTATAGGTATCATGCACATTACAATAACTGTAACCAGATTTGTCAGCATCAAGGGGCATGTTCAATTTATCTTATTTGCCTCCCTCACTGATACCTTTAGCTCATTCTCTGCCCACTCAACCTTTTATTAAGGAAGACTGGTATCAAATGAGAATGATGACTTAGAACATTTCTGCTTGTAAAATGTTGTAGAATGATGTCAAATCATAAAACTATTACTGTCCCTATGCAAGAAGATGGGAAAATTACTAAAGAAATGAAGTTGTGGAAATAACAAAATAGTTTATACAACTGAGTTGCAGCTTTTCCATATGTGAAAATATTCATGCTGGAATAATACAGGAGATACTGAAACTTTAGGAGAGTACCAGTCTCTGCTGTGGAATAATTTTGGTCCAATTTTTAAATAAACATTTAAATTTAGAATATTCGTAGAAAAATAAAAAAAAATGGTAAAGAATTACTATATATTTCATGCCTAATGTTCCCTATCAATAACATTTTATATTCATACTATATATCTCTCATCATTACTAAACCAACATTGATATATTAATAGTAACTAAAGTCAATACATTATTCACATTTTCTTAGCTGTTACAAAACATCCTTTTTTTCTGTCCCAAGATCCTATCCAACATACCACATTAGTCCTCAGTTTTACTTAGGTTCTCTTGGCTCTGAGAATTTTTGAGATTTTCCTGGATTTGATGATCTTGATACTTTTTGGGAAGACTGATGAGGAATTTTGCATACCATCTCTGAAGTGAGATTAATTTAATATTTCCTTAATATTAGAACTGGTGTTGTGAGTACTTGGGGGAAAGACCAAGGAGGCAAATTGCTATTCCCCTTGCTTTATAAAAAGATGACATACCATCATCATAACATCACTGGTATGTTAACTTTAACCATATAACTTAAATAGCATT